ACCAGTACGTCAAACAGTATCAAATGACACTGATGAAGCAATACAAACATAATTGACATTGAACTATATTGTAGTATCTAAAAATAATAAAATACTTAAAAAGTAATAAAAGTATCTTAGTTGCATCCATTCTATCAAAAACTAGAGATAAGTTAAACAAATTTAAGTGAATTTAAGTGTTTTTTTCACTCGTACGGTACAGATCTATATGTGAAGTGTATGCTACAGCGAGTGTCTAAGCAGATTAAAAAATCTGCCTCAGTTAATCTGCTTATACACTCGATGTAGCATACCAAGGGCGGATCCAGAATTTTTTGAAGGGGGGGTCTCAGGGGTAAATTTCGTGGGCAAAGGAATCCCAGTCGCATTTTTACCACAGGAAGCCCATTTGACCTCAGGAATGACAGGGGGGTCGCGACCCCCCCGACCCTCCCCCTGGATCCGCCCTTGCATACACTTTACATATAGATTGGAATGTTTTTCTTTATCTTCTATTTTTATGTATTTACAGTCACTGTATTTACATCAAAAGTACGATAACTAACAATAATACTGCAAATAATCATCACATATTATATCAAAAATCATAACAATACTGTTACAGCCTGCCGTTCAGAAAGATTTAAAATAATGCCGGAGCTATTTTAACTCCATTTGTTATATTTAGAAATTTCTATTAAACATACATTCATATAGTATTAATGGCCTTTTTCTATGCCTAGGATTTCCAGCATTAGTGCAAATAGCTTACACCAGCTTTTTTCAATAAATTTATTGTTAACGCGTAATATAGGCACAGATGAAAACGATGGAAATATGATCTACATACTTCTATTACTCTACTAACTATTTCATGACCTAGCTTCAAAGTTCTGCATGGCTATTCTTGTTCCTCTCCAATCCGTTTCATCATGACACGAAATCGCGTCCTCTCTGCCACTGATTCAATGGAGGAATCGCAAACCGCTGTTCTTCTTCTTCTGCCATTCACGTCAATGCAACCGTCGGCTAGCGCTGCTCTACCATATGGACGCTGCACAGCGCTCTCGGAATTTTCGTTAGCGAAGGCTGTGGTTGTCAGCCTACAGATGCTATTCCTGATGTTGTTCATGATTCTCTTGTTTGGAACCATAAGCCTTCTTGGCCTGCCAGTCAAGGTTTTATTATCTGGCTGGTCTTGCCCAAGCGTTGCCGAGGGCATTCTTGGCCTGCCAGTCAAGGCTCCATTTTCTTGCTGGTCTTGCCCAAGCGTTGCCGAGGGCATTCTTGGCCTGCCAGTCAAGGTTCCATTTTCTGGCTGGTCTTGCCCAAACGTCGCCGAGGGCAATCTTGGCCTGCCAGTCAAGGTTCCCTTTTCTGGCTGGTATTGCCCAAACGTTGCCGATGGCATTCTTGGCCTGCCAGTCAAGGTTCCATTTTCTGGCTGGTCTTGCCCAAACGTTGCCGAGGGCATTTTCCCTAGCCTGCCCGTCAAGCTTCGGTATTCTTGCTGGTCTTGCCCAGACGATATCGAGGGTATTTGTGGCCTTCCCGCAACCAAGGTTCCATTTTCTTGTTCGTCTTGCCCAGACTTTGATAAAGGTATTCGTAGCCTTCCAGCACCCAAGGCTCCTTCTTGTCCAGTCTTTTTCAACGGCAATCTTGGCCTGCCAATTAAGGTTTCATTTTCTTGTTGATCTTGCTCAGACGTTATCGAGGGTATTTGTGGCCTTCCCGCAACCAAGGCTCCATTTCCTTGCTCGTCTTGCCCAGACTTTATCGACGGCAATCTTGGCCTGCTGACAATTGAGGTTCCATTTTCTTTCTGGTCTTGCCCAGACGTTTCCTTGAGCATTATACCTACTTGTTGAATTGGTTCTTCTAACTTTTTCTGCTTTTTTCTTTTAATCTTCTTGGAAGATTGATTTTCCTTTTTTCTGGAAGACGTTTTTTTAGTCCCGTCGGATTGTTCGGTCTCTGCATAAACACCATCACATCGACAGTGACAGTGATAGCAACCTTGAGTTTCTTCCCGACCTCCAAATGCAACTTCATGATGAAAGTCATTTGGATTCATCACTAGAAATTCTTGACTTTTGCTTGAACAGATTCGGGTTGTCTTGCTATTTGACACTGGAGTACTGGCAACTTCTTGCTCTTGGTCCATCCTTGAATGTCCATTCTCACCATAAAAGATCCTCCTGTTTCTCTCAACAAAGAAATCAGTTAACTCCAACATGGATGGGGATCTGTTCTTAAATTTTCTTGATCTGTTACTGCTGTGAGACATCTCGTGGCACTAAAAGAGTTTCAGCAACTGGTAGGCTTTTATAGTGACAAAAAGATTTTAACTTCACAGAGTAGTTGTCGTACCATGTACAAACTACCCTTGAATAAAACAAATGAAGTTGCATGCACGCTATTTATGCGTTATTTTCCGGTAATTTCCTATGACGTTAGCATAATTATTATATACGCTGGCAAATATTGTCTTTAATAAAGACAACCGAGAACTTTCGTTACTAATTAATTAGTTAATTAATCGATCTCAAGCTTTAATATATACAACATTCAAGATAGTTAATATCTGTCGGAGTCAATAAAGCATGGGACTAGTTCTAGTTGGAACAATTCTTTTTTGTCGCTAAAAAGCATTTAATAAGATTTAGATACGCCCTATTATCAATCTAAAGAGAAAGGTAAGCCTGTAGTTACTTCGCTGAAAGGCAATTAACAATCAGTCTACTTGTTAAGAAATTCTGCATTTTGATTGGCAGGTGTAAAATGACGTTAAGCCACGTCGCTTTAAGATTGGTTCACTCGCTAGCCTCCTTTACTGCCGAGTTACATTCTCGTGCATGCAGTCACGGTTGTGAAACATTGCACGCAACAACTCATTTTTTGCTGTTATATAACTTTTTTTATCGCTCATCACCAACGCAAGTACAGCAGTGACGGCAGCTCAAGTCTACTTGTTGAGTAATTCTGCATTTTGATTGGCAGGCGTAAAATGACGATAAACCGCGTCGCTTTAAGACTGGTTCACTCGCTAGCCTCCTTTACTGTTCAGTTACATTCTCGTACATGCAGTCACGGTCGTGAAACATTGCACGCAACAATTTGTTTTTTGCTGTTATATAACTCTTTATTGCTAATCACCACCGCAATTACAGCAGTGACGCAGCTCAACGGTGTCGAACTGAAAGCATGTGGAGGCGCCTCTGGCAGCTGATATACGATCCATGTATAACCCCGAAGCACAGCTCTAACAAGTTTGAATTAGTTAGAGTCGGTATAAAAGGAGGGAGATAAAGAGAAAATGAGAGTTGCAATTTGATTTGAAAACCTTCGGAGTCAAAAAGAAAACTGATCAACCAACTAAGCTCACATGGGGCGACTGGGCCATTCTAACACCAGGACTATTATAGCTTGTGCCCACCCCTGTTAATCAGTTAATTTACTTCAAGATGTCAGGCCTTTTAGTTTCTTTTATTAGCGATCGACTATGTGATATCAATCAGTAACCTTTTCAATTTTTAACTAATTTCATTTTCCTTTTGCAAACGCAAACGCAAACGCAAGCAATGTTCACACGTACAACGCAAATGCAAGTAAATTAAGATGCGCATGCGCAGTAGTGATTGTTTATAGTTCACACGTATTATCCTTGCAATTGCGTTTGCGTTGTTCGTGTGAACCACGTCTTGCGTTTGTGCTTGCGTTTGCGTTTTCTCCGGTTCACACGTTAAAAACGCAAACGCAAGCACAAGAAAATGGAAAATTTTCCATTCCTCGCGTTTGCGTTTGCGTTACTGTAGTTCACACGTAGTTTTCTTGCGTTTGCGTTTGCGCTTGCGTTTGCGTTTGCGTTGGTCGTGTGAACCAGGCTTAACCTGTAATTACCTCGGTCCGGTTGTATTAAGGGTGGATAGCGCTATCCAACTGATAAATCCTTATCAAGTGGATAAGTCGATGCTGTTATCCAATATATTTATCCACTGGATAAGATTTATCCGTCGGATAACGCTATTCACCCTTCGTCGGCAACCGGGCCATGAAATACGGCGCGGACAGACCAGACTCGGTTTCAGCCGTGAGGTTGTGTTTTGTGCCAACACAACCGCCACCCAGTAAGTGGGGAGAGGAGAGAGGATCGCGGGAGCACCAAAAATCGAGCCTGGTTGGTGATGACTCGAAGATAATTTACAACATTTATAGCATGCCATAAGCTTTTTAAGGAATATCAACAAATCTGAAAGCAAACTTTTCTTAAATACTTTGTTTCAATTTATTTTCCTTTCTTATATTTTGTTCCATTTTATTATATTTATCTGATAAAATATTTTATTCTGTTCTGTTCACTTTGTTACAATAGTTAGCACTCGATTCTTTTTCTTATTCATTTAATTTTTACTGGGTTGCCTGTGGTAGCCCCATCTAGAAAATGTCGCGTTTCCGAGTCAAAAAATGCCAAAGTTGCGCAATATTACCCAGGGGTCTTCGCGGCATCACCCAAAAGGCTGTTGCCGGCATATGCCAGATACAGGGATCCTATGTATAGTCTGGATCTATTATCATGTAACAGTTGTAAATAATTGCAATTAATGTTTTCAAAGTGATTGATTAGGTGTGGGACTTCGTATCACGTTTCGAGGCCAAGGGGAAACTTGTAAAAGGAATTGTAAATCGGGAGGTAAAGTAAGATTTCTAAGAATTTCCACGTTGTGAAAGGACTTACCATTTGAAAGTAAAAATGCGCTAACAGCTAGATTCAAAATGTGCGTGTTACTGTAACGTCTTCATGCAGTAAGAAGAGATAACTAGCTAAAAACTAGTGTGAGCAGCGTCGGTGTTTCTAATGAAACAGTAATGATAAAAGGGTAAATTTTACACCGTGAAAAGATGAAAAAGCTTACTGACGTTTCGGACGCTAGTCCTTCGTCGGAGTAAAAGAGAAAGAGGTGGTAGAAAGGAGTGTTTACTGATATAAAACATATAAACATAATATATAAACACTCCTTTATACCACCTCTTTTTCTTTTACTCCGACGAACGACTAGCGTCCGAAACGTCAGTAAGTTTTTTCATCTCTTCATACAGTAAAGTTTACACTGAAGAAGGTCCGCTATAATCGGACCGAAACGTCTGCATGATGACTCTTTAAAAATACTAAAGCCAGAGTCAACTAGTCTGATAAAAATTGATATACTCTTCGTTTATCTACTTATTAAAGTAGTATTGCGAGTATTCTATGCTCGAACAATCGAAACATAGTAAAAACGGTAACATTGCTTGTTTGTTTGTCTGTTTGTTTGTTTTTGATCGTTGCTGATGAAGCTTAAAGCATTAAACTTAGCATCGCGCAACTACAAACTATCGCAGTGTAAAAATGTCTTTTAACACTCATTAATAACGTAAAAGAACCTGAACCACTGAGTAGAGTAATGAAACTCTGGGAGTGAACGCCGGGCCCCCAGTGCTTACTCCTCATTTTAACCATCTCTCATAAATTCAGAACTGATTGCAAAGCGTCTTTGATTATATAAGGGCGCTATATAAATCTTGAATTATAATTGTATTAATTGATCAATAAATTCCACTCATTATTTGCTTGATATCTTCAGTGGCTTTGTATAGAAGAATTCGGGGAGCTCTTTTGACACTCTATCGCACCATATTTGGGATGTCCCTGTGGTTCATATGGAATAAGAGGACCGTTTTTGGAAGGACCATTGGACCTTGATACGGTAGTGGAGATAGATGGATCGTTATGTAAAAGCCTCCGTTGGGCAGCACATGTCTTCATCTTCTTTTCTATAGGAAAAGAAACTTGCCATTTATAAACACGAAAAAAGGGTTGTAGAGAGCTCTTATTTGATGGAGATTTGGGAACATCTAAGGCCTTTTTCATCGAACATGCAAGAAATGATTAGCTATAATTCCTTCTGCGCCAAAGTCGTGATATTAGGGAACGGAAAGCCGGAAAAAACATCATCGATTCCGAGGAGAGAACGTCCATTATATAAGTTAGGAGCACCATACGAATCACGGCCAACGGGTTTAACAGACCATTGGGATAGCGAAGGTAAAATCGAAAACATATATATTTTTATTGCAGAGGCAGCCCCTTCTACTCATATATTTTAAGACCCTGAGTGTTGGTCCAACTGGGGCTCGAACCCATGACCTCCCATAGAACAAATAAGTGCCCAAACAAATAAGCCAACCGGATAATGCAGAGGTATTAGGCGGTGCATTAGCAATACACCCTTCCAACTCAACCTGCAACCTTTTCCAAAGGCAGCTTTATTGACCTTTCAAGCAGGGTAAAGTGGTGAATAGCTTTAGAATCACAGCAGTGAAAGAAAATGCAGTACGTACAAACTTCACTTATTCCAATGTTAGATTCTCTTCTCGGATACTGCTCAGTTATGGCACGAATAAGGAGGTACCTACGATATAGTCTTGGGGAAATATCTGCTTCTCTGTCTCATCCATACAATTCATTACAGGGGACGGGTGGGGAGACGGGTGGGGAGACGGGTGGGGGGCCAGTTGGGGGACGGGTGGGGGTAGATGGGTAAATGCAAATCCCCCGATACGTTAAAATTACTCAAATCCCAATCCGAAAATAATGTGACGCTCAGCCGGCAAAAAAGAAACATAAAACGTTCCTGAAGAGGATTTATATTTGCGATCCCACCAAACTTATAACGAGCAAAAACCGAATTTCGGACAAAATAAATGGATAATTTCGCAAACCGCGGCATTCACAGGATCCGCCAATCCTTTAAAATTTCACTCGTTGAACACGTAATAAATCGGACTAAATCATTTACGAAATCTGCCGATTCGTAGACCTATTCACCCCAATTATTTAAGTCATAGACGCAAGCTTGCTTTAAACAGCAAACAAAATGAAAGAGGTACCTTTTTCGAAATGGCCAATTTTGGTTTTGAATAACGTCAATAGGCTCAGCAAGGCCAGAACAGCAGCCCCTCCAACCACGTAGGACATGATTATCTTGTAATATTTACTGCAACCACCACAACAGACGCTGTAGAAATAAATACAGGGAATTATCAGGTCAACGGTGTGATGTGGAGGTTGTTAGGCCACGTTCAGTGACAACGCTTCATGTACCGTTTCGACTTATGTCTGACACTCAAAAATTGCGAGGTGTACCCAAAAATGAGTTAGCCAGTCCGAGGTTGAGGAAAACGTTGGGTCGAGTTGGCACTGCAATGCATTGTGGGACTGTTTTGGGGTTTATATTTTTTAACTACCTGTATTTCGTCCCTTAATGCATTCCYACAACGCACGGGTCCAACCTCGTATTGGAGCAATACCATTTTTTCGTGGTCACTCGAGCGAATTGATCGCTAAAAATAGTCCCCTTGCATTGATTTCCTAGACGAATTGTTCTGGGGGTCAAAACAATAGGTCGTCTTTTCTTATGCAAAAAAATCCATCATTTTGTTCCCCAGCAATATTCGATGCAATGGGTCTATTAAAAGTTTGAAGGCAGAACAATGTGTGTAAGTGAAAAACAAGCGGTGGTCTTCCTGTGGTTGACCCCGAACGCTGGGTTTATATTTCAACAAACAGTTGATAGTAATTTGACCTAGTTTCTGGTGATCGATTACGTAACTCTACTACACACGTTCATCATACTCGCAAAGTGCTGAGATATTCTGAGATATGGTAGCATCCCGAGCCTAAAAACTACAAGTTCCGACTGTCTACCCTAAGCTAGGGTTCACTAAAGTAAGTGACTTTTCAATCATACTTCGAGATCAATTATTTAAGTCTGTCATTTGCCAAAAAAATTTTCGTCTTTCTTGGCGACACATAATTTCTGGTGTCATAGGCTGTAGTAAGCTAGGATAAAAAAGCTTTTTCCTGGTGCAGATGTAATCGCAAAACAATGAAAAACTTAAAGCACGATTGTTTAGATCTTGTGCGGGTTTAATCTTCAAGTTCCCTCTAAATCCAAAACCAATACTCTTGAATTATTAACCTGAGAATGTAAAATTATAAATTCTAATTGAGACATTTTTTGTCAAAGACATTTTTTTGTCAAATTGTTTGTCCAATTTAAACCGAAATCCTAAAATCTCGAATTATTTAGTAATACATTAAATCACTTTATAACATTATTAAGTTAACGCCTAATAATTCAATATTACGTAATTTAATTGCCACGTCTTTTCTTTAAGAAACGCCTCTCTTTCCAAAGGTGTTTTGAACAAGTAAATAATAAGTGGAGCAATTTTGCTATCAAATCTTAATATGTTTTTCTTTTGTCATTAAGACAATATAAAGCCTCTTCTTATAAAGCCTCTCTTTCCAAAGCAGTTCCAAGTAAAATTATAATAATTGGAGCAATTCGCTATAAAATCTAAATACGTTTTTCTTTGCTCATTCACAAATCGTCGTCATTTTTTTTCACAAAGTAGTTTTAATATTAAATATGGTTTGCACTACTGAGATGTATTCACCTTGGTTAACGCTAAGTCATGCAACAGCAGCAGCAGATTATAAGATATACAAAGGTATTGCATACTTACGCAGAACCTGCACAGGGGTGTTCTATTTGTATCACCTGCACTGCAATACCATTGGAAAGCTTGTCTACAAAACTCATGGCACCATAAACAAATGCACCAGTTTCCTATAAACATATCATAAAACCAAACAAATGAGCTTCTTTAAAGAATAGACCTTATTCGTTGTGGTGTAATACTTTCCCATTACAGACCACATTATGTCATTTACATAAGTATAAGACACAACAATTTAGAGAAAGAGTCACAACACAAGGAAAAAACGTCTACTGAAATTGTCAAGTCCCCCCCCCCAAAGGAAAAAAAGTCTTTCAGTCTCATACTTATTCTCCTACTATAGTTTTCAAATATAGGTCACCCCCTCCACTGTCAAGGCTGGTCTGCTTGATCCTCTCTTTTTTCCCCCAAATAATTCAAGTTTAGAGTTTTGTTAAAAACTGAATTTTGAAGCCTTCTCTTCCATTTTCTAACAAAACATTACAAAGTGAAAACCTTTGTTCACTGAAGTCCTAAATACCTTATTGTCCCCAATCAAATCAGCTATAATTGCGAGTACAGTAATAAGCATAGTTGAGCCACCAATACCCAGTCCAATACTAGCAGCATACATGTACATTTGTACATGATGCACAGTGTTGTTAAGAAAGAAGAACGAAATGCTAAAAAGGAAAAAAATGAGAAATAAAATGAGAAAATAGACATTATTTCCTATTACCATCATCAAGACAAGGGCAATATTGATATTTTATTTTTTTCCGGTCCTGTATCCTAAAAAATCATGCATTCTGATTGGCTGTTTGAGCAGGCGGAATTTTTTCAGTATCTGCCCGCACTCGTAGTCTGGTATCCAACAAAACAACAAAACAAAACGATTACAAAAACAAGTAAAAGAAATATGGGAAAAAAATAAATAAGTTATTTACCGTCCTATAGTCGGTCCGGATAGGGAAAAACTGTGCCCTTGGTCTTGAAAACGGGCCTTGGCCCATATATTCAAGACCTCAAGCGCAGTTTTTCCCTATCTGGACCTCCTGGCCAGTAAATAACATATATATGTTTGAGGAAGTTAAATAACAATAGAAAAAAGATATGCTTTGGTTTACATCAGCCTCTTCATCCCACTATGAACTTCTAATAATATCTAGTCCGTTAACATCTAAGATAGTTCATACACTTAAAATATAATGCAAAATTAAGACAAAAAGATTTAAAAAATGAATTAATTAATTAATGAGAAGAGGAGGGTGTGGGGTGAGTGAGTAATTGTGGTCAGAATTTCAAAATATCTTACCAGACTCCAATAACTACCACAAGACCAATAGAAAATGTCACCTAAAAGCAAAACAATTAATTATTATCTTAAAAATAAGTGATTAATGATTTCTTAATTTGTGTTAATGGGGTTCTTGTTGCCATAACAACTACAGTTTGATTACCACTAGAGTACCATTACTGTTCTCTCTTGTGCTTTGAGCATTTTTCTCCAGAGTGTCTGGTTTTCCTCCCTCCTCATCAAAAATCAACTTCTAAATTCTAATTCAATCTTTGGGCTTTCACCTAGTTGGAGCCTAGCTCTGTTGTGATTGTCCCAAACTGTCATACAACAGTGAAAGCTTACTAGATTTTAGATTAGATTATGAAAAATATATGTGATTGACTTACTTTTCGGCCCAGGAACTGATTAAAAGGCTTTGCAAAGAAAGTAGCAATAAATCCACTTGTGTAGACAACAAGGGGCATCACTGCAATGAATTCCTACAGTGACATTTATATTCATTTATTATCTAATAATATTGATTAATATGACATGTTGAAGATATATGAGAGGGGAATGAATGAAAGGTATATAAGAGGAGTAAAAGAGAAAGAGAGCAAAAGTAAAGGGAAGAGAAGGGAAGAGAAGGGAAGAGAAGGGAAGAGAAGGGAAGAGAAGGGAAAGGAAAAAAGAGAGAGGGAAGAAAATGAGGGAGAAAAGAAGAGTAAAATGAAAGGAAGGGGAAGGAAATGGTAAGGGAACTACAAATCATAAAGAATGAATGGATGAAAAATGAAAGAGAGAATGGAATATGAAAACAAAAAAGAAAAGGAAAGAATGGAAAGAAACAAGAATAGGAAAAGGGTGTATGATGGCATTGCAATGGCAGGAGAATGATGAAGACAAGGGAAAAAGAAAAGTAACAGAATGGAAGCAAAGAAAGAAAAGGAACAGAAAAGAAAATAAGAGAGGGGAAGACTGAATCTACCGTACCTTGTGCAGCTGTAAGGTCTCAGTCACGTATATAGGAAGGTACACCTGACTAAGATTTACAACCAGACGTGTTGACATGTATAACAAAGCCACCTAATACAAATAAAAACCACTATTAAATGTAGGTTTGTTTGAGAAATTGTTTAGTTAGACCTCAGTCTGTTGTGCAGAAGGGTATCAATTGGATTGAGTCCCAGCTTGACCAACACTCGGGGTCTTAAAATAACTGAGGAGAAGGTGCTGCCTTTGTAATTACATTGACAAATGGTTAGACCTTCAAGTCTTCAACCATAAGGACTTGAAACCATAGGCCCTGTCTGTCTTCACTATAAATAACCTTACTGTTAGTAAGCAACAAAACCTTCACCAACCTTTATTGAAATAGCAGTATTTATAATATACAATAATGGATTAATGTTATGATTTAATTACCTGATAAAATTGAACCTTCTTAAACCACATTTTCCAGCTACTTGAAGACCTCATGTTCCCACTTGAGGCCATTTCATGTGAGCAGTTTCTGAAAGGCTCCCGTATTCCAACATGGAATATTAACATGAATAGCAGTCCAACAAACAAAAGCACAATAACCACATACTAGGAAATGAAAGGAAAAATATTAGTTACATCTAATTATATAATATTAGTCTTTCCTAATAGGTTGAGGGGAAAATGGGCTGGGCCTACGTAGCTCATGACATACATCTAATTGAAAAAGCGTAGTCGGGTTCGAGAAGGTCATATCATTGAAGCTAAGACCAAAAAGGACTTTGGGTACTCCTAAATGTGTGTTATATTTGCATATAGACATGTAAAAATGCACAGTAGAGCAAAGTCGGTCGACATAGATTAACAACATGCTAAAGCCATGATGCATAAAATGTGCACAGTAAGGGAAAACTGCAATACGCATGAAATTAGCATAATTGTTTGTCTTCCCATGCTCCCCTTTGGACTTAGCTTTGATGATGTAACCTTTTTTTGGACCCGACAACGTTGTTTCAATTAGGTGTATATTGCAAGTGCACTTGCTGGAAATATTGAAAAATGTCAAGTATTGGCAAGAAAGAGAATACACAATCAAAAAAATTTGAAGTATGCCATTTTTAGGGTGGTTATTTTCTTTTGTATTCAAACATATATTTCCTCAAAAAACTAGTAAGTCAATTAATCAGTGCTAAGGAACTGAACAAAAGAAAGTGTGCAAGGGATTCTGGTAGTGGTAGTACTATATGTAATACTATGATGCAAATGGCACTAAGGGAAAATGGTTTAAAATTTACCATGAAAGCCTCAGAGTCACCATTAGACACTTTTGTAGAATCACTAGCCATAGAACGGAGGAATATCCATACTACACAAAATGTCAAGATGTTGGATACTACTGTAAATCCATATCTGCATGGAAAGAATAAATAATATATTCATGATATTCTTCTTTTTTCTATCATTGCAGAGCAAGCAGCTATGAGCCTACATATATAATATAGCTGGCACAGGGATAATCAATATGTGTTTCTAAGAGGACCATGGATCTAATGACAATTATGAACATTGATTCAAAATGATCGAAATTTTGAAGGGATAGATATGAGAATCTTAGGACGTCACAGCTTCACAAGGTGCTATTGCACAGCCTTTCCTTCCTTTTAATAACATGTTTAAAAATTGGGAAATATCAATCACTGAGAATGTAAGATTTGAAAACTTAATTCCTGGCTATGCATGCAGATCAGATCCCAATTAGGACCCTCCCCCCCCCCCCCCCCCCCCCCCCCNCCCCCTCCCCCTACTATTATACCTTATTTCAATAGATCTTATTTACTGTTTAATATTCATCAGGTCCTAGTTGTACAAAGAGTGGATAGTGCCATCTGATGGATAAATTCTTATCCAGGGGATAAGACGATGCTGTTATTTAATAAATTTAATGTTTTTTAATAAATTTATCCACTGGATAAGTTTTATCCATCAGATAGCACTATCCACCCTTCCTACAACTGGGACCTACTGATCTGAGTTTTCAATACAATAAACCTAATTACCTTCATATATGTAAATTGTCCATTTCAAACCATGTGATGTTCACACGTTATTCTCAAGAGGATTGTTCCTTTATCTCTCTGAAATTTATTCGTTCATATTCATGTGGGTGTGAAAACATTTGAAAGAAACATTTCTCCATAGAACATCATGTAAACATCACATGGTCTTTCTGATGGTGAGTGTTTGACCATATGCATATAATGTGTAGTTACAGAAATTTTCCATAACCCCCCACAGAGAAAGTTTTTTCAGATTTAATTTTTTTCATTTTCCTCCATACAAACTCTGTAATTTTGTTCTTTCTCTGACCCCCACCCCCCGGCCAAACCTCTGTGGGGGGGGGGGGGGGGGGGGTTGGGGTATGGATAATTTCTTGAACTACACAATGAGATTCAAAGATTTTCATCATGATCAGCTGATATTGAAATCCAGCAGTTTTTTCCTTGTTGTGAAATCTCTTATAACAACTGCTAGTCTAGTTCTAGCACTCCAAGCAATCCCTAGCAATTCAAGTATGCTAAATAATCGTACCATAAATAACCACATGTGGATAATAAAGCAATTTTGAAAAGGGGGTTGCATCAGTTGCAATATAATGAATTAAATTTTGGTCCAAAACACTTCATCGCCTTATTTCTAGATTACTTCGGCTCTAACTGTTAATAAAGTTGCTTCCAAGTATATGTATTAGACTAAAGGCTCAGAAATATAGCTGTTTATAATCATATGATAATAATAGCAGTAAATTGTATTGAATTTAAGAAGTGTTATTATACCTTATAGCATTTAAACTGCATTTTTCTTGCTCGTCATTGGTTAGCTCAGGAATCAACGCAAGATGAGAAATCTGGGTTGCAGCCCAGCCAAATTGAAAGATCATAACAAACGGTGTGTAGTAAATAAACAAAGCTGCTATAGAGGGACTACTACTAGCACATGAAACACATAGATTGAAGATGAACGGAAAGCTCAAAGCCACACAAACTACTCCAACAAGATGCCATATCTTCCTTCTACCATATTTACAATTGCCAGTTCGGTCCGACTCTATTCCGACTAGAGGCGTTGATATAGCGTCCACCACTTGCCCAATTAACAGCAATGTACCGGCCATTGTGTTGGAAAACTTAACAACTTTGTGCAAGAATAAAAGTAAGTACGTAAACCACATAGAGGCGCACAAGTCGTTAAGGATATGCCCGACTCCATAGCAAAATTTCACTCGAAAGCTGAGTTTTTCCGATACAAGACTAGAGCCCTCCATTTTTCGAGAGAGTTAGGATAAGTCCTGCGTTATTGGAGTCAAATTTCAGCTCCCGGAAGGTCGGGAATATTTAGTTTAATATAGATGTTTTTTTGCCTTACTTTTGTCATATGAAGAATTATGAGACCCTCGTGACCTGTTCACAACAAGATCACGTGAAATAGTTATGTAACTGTTTCTCGGGGGAGGGGTAAAAACTAAGATAAAATATTGACTATAACTCTTTTAATCTCTTCTTAATCAATTTTTTTTAATATTCAGAGAAGTAAAGTATATAAAAATGTAATAATATTCTAGCAGAATACTAGTTATGAGGGGTATTATGCAAGTAAATGATGTGAGAATATTGCTACCGTAGGGTCTCCCCTACAAGGTTGTCTTTCGATAACGTCGACATACGTACGTACGTACATCGTTTGAATGAATACATGACAGAACATGACACATGCATGACATATGCATAATATTTGACTGAGTACGTCACGCGATTACCCACAGGCAGTCCAAACTAACTATGGTGTCACTCGTACTTGAAAACAACAGCAATAACTCAAGATAAACCCTGGTGGCAAAGAAGACAATCAGCACATAAAGGAACACTTTTTACAGGTGAATTCCGCAGGGATTAGCCATTCCGAGGTCAAGACTGGGTCGAGTTGGCATTGCAGTGTATTGTGGGACTGTTTTAGGGAACGAAATAGACTGACAAGAGACTGACACCACCTTGGAAGCAAGTCCTCTAAAACAGCCCCCAAAATCCACCCGTTTTCCAACGCGACCCACACCAAGTTTCACAAGCACACAGTATATGAAGTTTCTGATGTAGATGGGGCCTCCGGCTATGATATACACTCAATTGAAGAATCGTTGTCGGGTTCAGAAACATAGAACATAGAAGCTGAGACCGAAATGGCACATGGGAAATGACATAATTTTATTCATTTGCGCCATCCAAGCAGTCGGTTTAGAATGCCAAACGCGTATTTAGAAGACCTGCGTTTGAGAGCCGTTTGGCTTCGCATTTTTATAGGTTGCAGCGTAGACGAAASCGCTTATTTACTCCCCATGTGCCATTTCGGTCTCAGCTTCTATTTTCTGTTTCTGAACCCGACAGCGATTCTTCGACAGACCTTTTGCAATAGATTGACACGTGATTGTTACTAGATGGCAAAAAAATTTGGACTTTCTTTATTTAAAGATTTTTTTTGCTGGATTAGTAATGTCTTATCCAAAACCTTTCCAACAATCCTTTTATTCCCTTGTAAGATACTTTCGATTTCAAGACACGAAAAAGTTTAAAGTTTGTTTGCCATCCCGCAGAGCCTTCCCCATGCCGCCTTTGGCTGAATTGATTCGATAAAGTGATATATCATCACGTTACTGTTTGTTGCAAAATGCCTATTGAGTGTACAAAACACCTTAAACTACTAGTAATTGGTAACTGAGAAATGTTTAATAAAATAATTTTAACATAACAGTGACAAAAGTTTGAAAAATCCCATTTTTGTTAGAGTGCTTCTAATGATCTTTAAAACAGATGGGACAAATGCCTTCTAACTTCTACAATGTACTAGATTAGTTTCTTATAAACACTTCTATTAACGTATTAAGAGTGAGAGAGAARTAAATTAAGCACCGATTGCCTGTGATGGCTCTATGATTCAGCAGGAGCCCTGGATTCATAAAAATGTTATGGATACTTTATATTAAAAGTATTTGTTACTAGCAGACGGCGAGATGGTTATTACTCTAGTGAGCCAAAGCCTAGCATTATACAGACCTAATTATAAAAACAAGGGTTAGTAATTCGATTTTACTAAGTCCAAACTAGACATGCACTGTGTTGTTTCAAGGCGTGCAATGAAACACTTGGGTACAGGTTCTATAATTGTAGCTGTCTTGAGAGACATGATTGAGTCTGCAAAAGCTATTGGTTAAAGTTTTCGTGAAAAACAAATTTGGGCCGTCAACCAATTTTCCTGGGTTGATCTTAACATATAATCGAATTTCAAAACAACTTGCGATTTCCAATCACTATTCTACATAAATATTTCTCGTGCATAGATCTAAACACAACGTGGGACGTTTCTTCGTACTGAGGCCTCTAGGACTCAGTTTTTGCCGCCGCTTCGTTAGGCTCAGTGACTGTATCCATCACTTCTATCGTCGCATCTCCTTCTCCTTCTTTTTTCTCTTTCTTGGCTCCCTCGTCTCCTTGGCCACTGTCCTCCCGTCTTCTCTTAAAACGCCCTCCACGTGGATATCGTCCACGGTATCTCGGCATTGGAGGAGGAGGGTCGATACCAAGTACTTTGTGAAGCTGTCTGAAGGCTTGTAGACGAAGGGCGTGCTATAAAAGTCAAGAGTATTCGTTAAATGAGATAATGAGCAATCATTTAATTTGGTGAGAAATTTTGCGCTAAAATCGTAGCACTTTTTTCCTTTCATCGAGTAAACTTACAACAGTGACAACTACTTTTTTATTGGTTAACAGAAGCTTTTACGCAACGCCGTGGCACGAAAATTCGTAGTTGCGGATGAATCCTCGATACCTGTCCCAAGCACGAAAGGGCTAACCTGGCTTCCTGTCAAGGGTATCAAACTTACCTGAGCTGCGGTAGTCAAATCTTCTGCTTCTTGCATCTTTATATCAGCAGAGGCATCTACCTTTTCTTTTTCACATGGGTCGCACAGCCCTGGCCCACCTGAACAAAATTAAATGTATATTGTGATAAATAAACAACAAAAATAGTTTGCAGTTCCACAGGTTTTACACTTTGTTCCTATCAGGCTCATTAAATCAGATTTGACCCTCCACAGATGGTCAGGTTAATTAAAGAGTTTCATCATATAGGAAYGCAGGTCAAAACAAATACAAATATCCATAAAAATGGTTTAACTTGTGCAGGCTCTCCATTTTCAGACTACGTGCGACAACCATTGCTTACTAGCAATGCTTGAGAAGTTGGCTTAGACTAAGATCAAACGTCAACTTCACATGAGAAAACCGACTTGTTATCCATCGTTTCCATTAGGTTCGGCTCATGTGAAGTTCGACGTTTTTCCTGAGCCTTATACTGATGTATTTGTTCTCAAGAGAGTAACAAATCCTCAATGTAAATCGTCCTTRTGTAAAAGTGCCCCTTGGACGAAAATTGCTATCTTTTCGTACAAACTTGAAACTTCGTCCAAATAATCCATACTACCCTATTAATCACCTGTAGAAATTTTTTCTTCATATTCCGACGGGAAGTTTGAAAATTTTGCGTTTTTACTACCGGCCGCCATTAATTTTCTTGATCAATGATTTGGCTCAGAAGACTGGGGATGAGTGAGGGCTATGACGTCATTTACTCTACTCATTCCAAAACACTCGTGGCTAATCAGTATACAAACTCTGTCAAACTTTCGTGTTATAGTTACAAATA